AAACATTTACAAGGCTGTTGGTTTCTGTTTATATAATCTTTTTATCTATTAATCTTGTTTGTCTATTCCTTCTTTTTTTTTTGGTTAGGTTTGAATATAATGCTTCTGCTGACCTTGTTAAGGAGGTTCAATTTGAGGAAGTTGAAGGTATGTGATGAAATGCATTTTACAGTTGTTTTATACTGGTTTTATGTGTCACTGAAACATGAATATTTATGCAAATTTCAGGGGGTGTTAGAACAAGAATTGTGAGGAAGTGAGTTAGTTGCTGCATGTATTTTCCTTGAGTGAGACCCTTGTGGTAAGTTGTACTCTTCAACATGTAAAAAGGAAAGATTCATTGGTCTGTGTGTGAGATTCTGCTCAGCCTGTAGGCCACACCCAAATTTATGTAGCTTATTTTTCCTTTTACACACTAATATATTGTTTTGTCATTCTTATTCGAAAAAATGGTTTTGTATAAAATTTATAACTTTTTTTTCTTTTCTTTGTGGGATGTGATACCTCCCACACTTGGTTGAAATTGTCACATAGAAGATGCTTCCATTGTGCAAACTTTAATATTATTTTACGCTTCAAATTTTGTGCTGTGATGGCAAAGGAATTTATTTGAGACAGTTGACAAATGCAGGTACCAATAATGAAAAATAATTGTAACTGATTTTGTTATTTTTCCTGGTTTTTGCTCAAGAGGAAATCACCAAAAGTTTGAACTTAGAATATCCATCTTACATCGTACTACCATTTGAAGCAAGTCCGAGTGGGCTGCAGGTGGGTAGTAATTTCAAAGATTTTCTCTATAATTCAGCAGGAGCAAATGTCTGGTCTTATAAAGAAACAAAGAGGAAAGGAGGTCAAAATGATGACAGAAAAGAAGGAAGTTGAAATAATGATAACTCAAGCAACACAAGTCTGCACACAGTAACAAACTGCACTGAGGGGACTAATAAATTCCAACAGGTCGCAGAGTTAATGAAGGAGGAACATCTTGAACCAATAAGCTGAATATTTAAGGTATCTTGTCAAGTTGTTCTTGAAATCAATGTATGTGAACCCAAACCTAAGGGTGTATCCAGAAGTCCATTCGAAGTCATCCAAAAACGCCCACACGTAGT